TGTTCCTTTTTTGCATCAACTGGAACTGCACATAACAAACTTACTTTTTTGCTCCAGGTAACTCTATGACACTGTCGCTTTGTCCTTGTGACATGCCTATGACTGGCTTTCCTGTTGCTTCAAATCTATATGCCAGTGCACATATAATGACAGCTTTCATGAAGAAAGTGTTGTGAATTGTGTAGTGCATGTTCACCACAACTATCACTGCATATGTCGGGCCAGCCTGCTCCAACAATCCTTGTTTAAAAACTGTGCTGGCTAGACACTTCATAAAAAAAAAATCACGGCATATTCATGGAGTGAACGATGATAAATGGGACGAAGCATCCATCTGTCTGTCTGTCTGTCTACCCTTCCGCACCTGCTGAGTGAGTAATCGAACTAGGCGGTCACGAATCACGACGAACTTGGAGGGAAAAACCCACAGCTTAAGGAGCTTCGCGCTAAATACCATGTGTTAGAGATGAATATTTATGGCTTTTCCTAAAATTCAGCACTGGGGTGTATGTGAAAACCACCTTTCCAATTAAGTTAGTGTGAGACCATAATTATTAGTGTCAGCCACCCAGTTAACTAAGGTTGAATAATTACCCTTTTAGAGGTTGCAGTAAGTCGGCATGTTGTTAAAGAGTTGGAGGCAGCCATGTCTCTTCACAGTTCCACATGGAAGTATTCTCTAGCATGCCTGTGCTCCAAGATCTCCAGGTGAAATTTTTTGAACATGTGGTATTATTAAAGTATGAAAAAGCTCAGATGGGTGGACATCAGCAACAACTTTGTCAGGTCAGCTGGATATTTGCCGTGAACGTTTGGAAGCACGGGCAATAAAGTGTGTCTTCTTGAATGTTCAGTTACGTTGATGCCCTGAGAAACTAGTTCTGTAAGATTCGACTAAAAAAATTCATACAAGCCATGGAATACATGATTTCAACACATCTCTATCCGGTGAAAGAGATATTAGCGAAATAACCTGAACGAGTTGGGAGCCTAAATGGTTATTTGAGACATAAATTTATAGTTTTTGCTTCTGTTACGTCACAGACGTGTTAACAGTGATGACAAATTAAAACTACAAGCATGTCAAGTGTTTTCGTACATGAATTGAAATACATTGCGTGTCAAAAGTATATTTCAGTTTATATAAAGAGTTTTAATGGTTATAAAACTATTATTTGTTCCATCAACCTTTGAGCAAACAATGCCTGCATGCAGGATAAACAGCTAATGAGGATAGCCTTCACGGACATTTTAGGATGGGCTATGTCGGCATACTGGGCAGCGCATAATCACCGGCTCAAATTTCTTAAATGTGGACACATAAAATGTGCCGGTAGACTTGAGGTGGCTTGAAAGACATTTATGTCACATACACCTTAATTTGTTTCAACACAAAACTTAAGATTTCAAGACTTAGAAGATCCCTCACTAATCCAGAGATTAAAAAAAGTGCATTTTAGTTAATAATGCCTCAATGTAGTTATTAACTTTATTTTATTTTTCTCTTCTTTTTTTTCACAATATGCTCATGCTGCAAAACGAAATGCGTGGAAATATACTTCACTCATTGTTTTCTGTCTACGTTGGTATGTTTTTTACTCTTTTTTTTTTTTTTCCTCAATTTTCTTTTTGATTTCTTGTGAACATAGATGCAATATAATGTTTCCTGCTGCTGCCTATTGTAGAAGGTGTGAGACCTTAGCCAAGTGTTTCTCATATTATTATTATTATTATTATATTATTAATGACTCTAGATCTCTCTAAAACTGCCAGATTATTATCATAATTGTCCGTGGGGTGAGTATGCTACAATCACTTTACTGCCGACAAAATTGCGCTGACCCGTTTCTTCTTTACAAGCTAGTTCATGGTATAATATCTTTCCCTTTATTTCTCCTGTTTATAAATTCTTTAATTTAGTGTAAGTTAACCAGAAAAAATCTACCGTTTTATATACCTGCCAGCTTCTTTTCCAACACTCTACCGCTCACAGAATACAAAGTTACTATAATGTTAACTTTCTTGATCTTGATGTTTTTCACAGTTCACTGTCATTGTTTTATCTGAACTTTGCACTGTCTTGATTGATATGCAGGGTTTAACATCCCAAAAGCACCATACGATTATGAGAGACACTGTAGTGGAGGGATCCGGAAATTTCGACCACCTGACGTTCCTTAATGTGCGTCCAAATCTGAGCACACAGGCCTACAGACTTTGCACTGTTTTAATGTAGTTTTTCACAATGTACTGTTTCTTCTCCTTACTGTCTTTAAGGAAGCCCTCCACATAGTCGTGTACATTCTTCATTATTTTTCAATCCCAGTCCGTGTTTCTCATCTTGCCTGTTTATTCTTCCCCTTTGCAATCATTTTTGTCGACACGTTCTCACTATTTTCATGCGATTTTTTTTCCTGAAGACTGCCTGTATTGTATTGTTTATTTTCATTTTAATTTTGCGCCCACCTGCACAAAGACGTTATGGTTGTTCCTAGTCACGTTAAATGAACGATTGATTGATTATAAAAGTGCTCTAAATGCCGTAGAAAAGATTACTAAAAGGGTGCTCACAGGCCACTTATCCGTGTTCCAATTGGCCCATTGGAAAGAACTGGCGGCACAAAGTTGTGATGGTGATGTGTTTCTTTAAAGCAGTTATGCTTTTTTAAGCAATTGTCACACTGTTTACAAGTACTGCATTAGGAATTTGATGTGATCACAGGCGACTGTGCATCTCACCAGTCTCACCCATGGGATTTGTCCTTGCTTCATCATTTAGAGGGTTTATATAAAGCACAGTCCACCAAAATTTGAAATATTATAGAATCTAATGGCTGTTATTAACAATCGTTATCAGTGTCTTCCCCTGAAATTCATTTATTATTATCATTTTGATATATATGCTGTTTGTATTTGGTCAATGCGTGGGTGTGTGGATCGTATCGAGTAAACTGTTAAACCGCTGTTACAAAGAAAGGCAGCATGAAAAGACACAGCTACTTGAAGAAAGATGACAAACACTACCTGTGTAGTTTTTCTTATACTGAGTATGTGCCTTACTTTGTATTCATATCTCTTATTCATATCACCGTGGCACTGATACAGGGGCTCCTGATGCCTTTGTTACTTATTCTATGTAGTGGAACTAAATTCAGTTAAACCACCTTAACAGGAAGTATACAATTACTCCATCGATTCCATTCCAAGTTCACTTATTCTCTCACCTTTGTCTACAGAATTTCGATACACACTACAGCAATAGGCCGTTATGATACCTCTCGACCTTACTACTTATACAGCCAGTTTAAATAAGCTTAGCAGAAAAGAATATGGACTAGTTGACTCTGACAATGCTTGAAAAGTGACAACGCACAAGATAAATCGTGCTGTCAAGGTTATGATTGAAGCTCTTTTTGAGAGGTGGGGTCGCCACGTGTCACTGACCCAGCGGGTTTCTTAGATAGCATGCCGGGAGCCAATCTAGACCAAAGTTTGGCTGCTAAAGGCCCCTTTTTTTATAATAACACAATTATTTATATTCTAGGCCCTAAGGCATTCTATAAGCATTCGTAAACCCACTTTTTAGGATCCCTTCATGCGTAGCGATCAGTGGAATAGAGCATGTATGTACATAGTGTAATAAATAAGAAACAGAGATAGCAGCCATGCTGCGAGCCAGCTGTTCTAATACGACTTCTTTCTTCTCTTTTTTTTGCCGTGCCCGTGCGCTGCATTCGTTATTGTCATCATTACAACAAAAATATTCTATATTTTTGTTGCATATGCACGTTATACATTTTAACGTTTCTTTGTCATTTGTGTCTGCAATCTCACTAGCCTGGTGTATTCAAACTTAAAGAAGAGCAGTTTATGGACGAAAAATGCGCAGTTTCTTTTCAGTGCAGCACATTTAGAGCAACAACCCAACCGTAACTTACCTTTAGTAAAAGTCATTCCAATAACGGGCATTTTTATGCCAGATTTAGTCTAGGTTAGCTCAATGTTGTTTTAATGCGCATGTACATCATTCAAGGAAAGCTGGGCTACATTACATGGCACTGTATGACAAAGGAATAACATGACAAGTAGTATTCAAAATTACCTTTTTTCTTGTAGCCCCCTGGGATGGGGGGGGGGGGGGGGGGGGAGGAGGGCTGTTTCTTATATATATTTTTTTTTCTGGGGAAAAGTGGCAACCCTAGTGACAGGCGGCTAACGCAAGTAAGCTAGTTAGTTGTCAAAGCTGTAGCATTATATATCTGCTCATGAAAATAAGTGTTCTCAATCAGGTGCACCATTGTCGCACCGCTCCAAGCACTTTAAAAAGACAGTATTGCCGTATGTTGAAGGGTGAAATGGTGAAACCATGGTTTCTTGCATAACTTAAGAAAGTAAAAGAAGGTATGACATAAAGGTAGTTTATACATCAAATCAAAGGTTGTGAACAATGTGCCCAGTGGTTTAATAGAATTTTTGGTGGGGAAAAGATGGGAAGCACAAAAAAATGTTATCTACAGTAGGTGTGTAGGGTAGAATACACGATACTTTTGATGTCCAGTCAAAGCTACATTGGTCAAATTAGTCACTGTCTCAACTTGTGCCTAGGTGAATACAACTAAACACTCACTGTATTTCATTGAGTGGGTGCCAGGGAAATTGCGAAAACATGTCATCCATTCCACCCACTATGTCTGCAATCAAGGCCTTGGGCATCTTACCAAGATGGAATTTCCTACATAGATGCCATGTGATGGTGCTTAAAGTTCCTGCTTATCTAGCTTTTACTATTACTTTTTTTTCCGCGCATCACTTTATCCAGAAGTCCTTATATACACAGGTGTTTGAGTTGTTCTTGTAAACCTTTGCATTGCCGTAGCTCTGAGTTATCTGACTTGTGTCTGGTCGAGTACATCAAGCAGCAAAGCAATCAAGCTATGTAGTCTTCTCCTCTTTTTTGTGGCTCAGGTCAATTTGTTTACATCGAAGTCACAACACGCAGGGCCATTAATGAACCGCATTTATTCCTTTCAATTTTTTTTTTCAGAGGCAGATAAAAATAGTACACAACAACCTGCATCGCGTGAAGTGTGTCTTCCTGTTCATGACCACTAGGCAAAAACACACACTGTTTGCGTCTTCTAAATTCTCTCCAATAACAACAAACACAGTGTGCGTTCAGGCCTTCGGAAAAAAAAAATAAACAAAACAACAACATACAAAATGGGAAGGAAAATCAAGGGGGGCAACACATGCATACATAAAGAAATACTGGTATTTAAGAGAGAAAAAAATAGAAGCAAACATATCGGAGGGAAGAGGCTGGCATGAGTTTCACTCTCCCCCTTCTATGACCGAAAAAAAAAAAAAAAGATTGCGCCATTTTACACGCACCTGGTGTACCGTATGTGAAAAAAAGTAAGCTTCATTCATGCACTGTACACCTGCACACTTGGTATAGTTGCTAACAATCTCTGTAGTGGCCACATAACTTAACATAATGATGTAGCACATAATACATTTCAACATCAACAAGTGACTTAAGAATTGTCGTGGGAACTGCACTCACATTTCTGGCTGACCAGCATGAAACTTCTGTCACCAGAATAGAAAAAAAAATGTAAATTATTCTAGACATTGAGAGGCTGCAGTTGCATTTAATAGAGGCTGTAACAATGCGTTCAAAAACCTTGGAAATAGCTTGAAGAGTCGAAACATCAAAATATGTTTGAGGATGCCAAGCGGCTTTCATTGCACTGCGGGTGAACACAAAGTCGATGCTCCCATGTTGTCAATGCTGAAAATATTATTCCTTCTCTTCAATGACTCATAGGCTTCTTTTAAAGTCTTTATAAATGTAACCTTGATGCGTAACACTATCACTATCACCGCTTTGAAACTTTGGTTCCACCCCAATGTTGACAAGACATTTCAATTTACATGCTGGGTTGCTTAGCTGCAAAGTGAATTTAACGGAAAAAGAAGGGAAAACAAAACGTTAAAGGAATCTCCTCGCACAACTACATTCCAATATTTAAAGTGGACCATGCTACTCTGTCTCAAGTGACTGGGAGGCAATTTGCCAGTTGCCTACAGTCCAGTACACTGTTAAAGGAAACAGTTTTTTTTTTTTTTAGGCACTGATCATTACCAACATATGGTGCAAAGACTCAAATACAACTTTTTTTATTTTTGCTTGAGGATGCATTAAATCAGACACTTTTTACTGTAATGGGTAGGTACATAAATTGTTCAACTATGCTGCTCTTATTAATGGCTGACTGTTCACTTTAGCAGTGCACTGGATTGCAAAAAAAACTCCAAAGAAGAGCTTTCATTGTTCTTGCATATAGAACTCTGCAGCGAAGCACTACCCTGACAAAACATGATACTAGAAATTATGTTCATTACACTTTCTATGCCTGCCAACAACTAAGAAAACCAAATGTTAGACAATGATCTTGAAGAGACTATTGAACCAATGGAAAGGCACAATAAAAAAAATGTACACAGAGATGTGAAACAATGCCATTTTTATAGCCAATACTAAACTTGAATGCACATAAGACAATGGACGCATGACTGTTTTGGCCATACAAAGAGGAACCTTTAGTATGTGGGTCACTCCTTTCTGAATTTACATAGTCGGATGATCCCCATAATAAAAACACTAAAGGGGGTATGCTATGTACGGTTTCTCTAAAAAAGATTCTCAACATGAATATTTTTCCACAACTTTCCTACCATTTAACTCTGTGTAAACCTTTCATTTATGGATATAAAAGCTTTACAATTGAACAAAAATGTATTAGGGCACACAATTTTCAGAATAAGAATAAAGTAACAATAGTGACTGCATGTAACCCAAGTTGAACATCCTGTTCTGAAGAGACAAGCACTAACAAGAAAAATATATTACTCAAGACTCTTTTAAATAATCTAGCTTTTAAAAAAGATAAATATAATGATTGTGCTTTTAGGACTGACTATTTAGTGCATTTGGAGCTTCTCACACTTTTACTTGGCCTTGCTTTGTTAAATGGAAGCTCACTTCAGTTAAGCCACATTTCACAAAGCAAGCTGAACGTGCGTGCTACACCAAGCTGTAGCTTTCAATGCAACACGTGACCTACAGCTGACAGGGCATCCCACACTGTCAAAGGGGCGTGAATAAAGGCCACTTGCCTGACTATGCTTGTTTGAAGAACTACTCTTACAAGCATAATAGCGATAGCCGGAACTTCAAGAGGAAACGCCCGACCTGTTTTGATCATGACATCTCCCCCTTTATAGGAAATAAGAGAGAAACTTGAGCAGGATTTTGAATAATCAGGTTCACGAGCAATGCTGTATTGTGTGACTCTGCGAGCCAGTGAGACCCGTAAGTAGAGGTGTTACGTTGGCAAGCAGCAAACAAATAATTCATTGCACAGACAGTGACATTGGGGAGAAAAGAAAAAAATGGCCCAGAGGTGCAGGGCAAGCAGAGAAGAGAGAAGGGAATATGAAGCAAAGGTAAGAACGGTATTGCACTTTCGGAGAATTTTGATTAGCTTCACTCCTCTGTGGATTAGGAGAGAGGTCATGCTTTGAATTTCACAACTCATGCCTTTCCTTTTTCTTTTGATCTGTCACCTGACTATTATCGGCGAAGCTGGTCATTACAAGCAGATGACATGAGGAACACGATGGCCAGCATCACTCTTCATGAAGAGAATGTCTCTTCTTTGATAAGTGAATAGAAGGGCAGTGAAATAAAGTTGAATACAAGAGAGAGAGATGTGGGCAGCGAGATGATACTAAAAAAATGTGGTTGGATCTGGATACTGAGCTGAATGGGAAAAGCTTGGCACAAAGCAACATGACAGCACAAGTAAAACACTAAAGAGCGAATAGCGCCTGGAATACTACAGAGAAAATAAAATGAGACAGAAGCAAAGAAGGAGGGGTAGAGGGGGGTGTACTGTCAACGCCTCCGTCTCCCATGGCACGTGTACTCTCTCGCTGCTTCTTCCCCATCATCAACGACAGAGCATATCTGCAGGGCACACACACCCAGCAGCTTTAATGTATGAATATATACTATGCGCAACATTCATATACTCTTTTTTTTTGTCATTTACTGTACACACACATGTAATATATTATCTGTGAAAACGTGAGGATAAGATGTGTCCTTTACACAAGCAAAAGGAGGGGGAAAGAAGAAGCAACACAGCGGCATACGAAGAGGAAAAAATATGACAAGAAATGAACACTGCTTTGCATTTTATAACAAAAGCGAGTAATTATCATCATCATCACAACAAAAGAGTGGATGGTAAAGGGCAACAAGGGCACAAGATGCACTAGAAAATGTATAAGAACACTGTAATAATATATTAACTCATTTGCTAGATACAAATGCAAAAAAAAAAAACAAGGCAAGAAATGCACACCTTGTAGTTTCAGTGTCCATAAATCTGTACTCGTCTCCCATGGTGGCAAGACAAAAACTAGAGCAGACCATGGGACAATTCACCAGGTGCACACATATTACACGCACACATAAGCACACGAAGGGGGGTGGGGATTAAAAAAAAAGTGTGAAAAAACGACTTCTACAAGACAGCCCCAAGGTTACGGGGTCATCATGCCAGCCTTTTCCCGATACACCCTGTGCACTTTTGAAAAGTACAGCTTCCAAAGACAAATAAGTTAAACAAGCCTCCATCACTAGAGGTGAACGGCACGAGCTGCCGAAACATTGCTCCTCATCTCATCAAGACTTAAAGCAAAAAGGAGTCGGAGAATGCAAGCAGCTCCTTTATCGCTACATTACATTTGGGACTTTTTCTTTCATAACATCATTTTTTTTCTTCTTTCACAAGGCCCTCAAGATAACTTAAACTAGCAGCAGATGGCAGCAACAGTCGAGGGAGGAGCAAGAGAAACTAATCTACAACTAAATGTCACAATTACCAAATGTTTTCGCTTTTTCTTTCAAAACTCGGTTTGTCGCAACAACGTCTACAACAAGCATTTGTGGCTCCCTATGCTCGCCCATCCTTGTACAGTTTCTGGTAAGGCATCGTCAGTGTACAGTGAAGACAAACAAAAAGTTTTCTGCGTATATAGACATAGTCGTGTATGCGCATGGAAGCATGCCAATAAGTCCCACACGTCATAGTGGGTGTCAAAATGCATCAATGACGACAGATCATCGTGATCTTTGTTGTTAGTGTGTGTGGTGTTTCATTTCATTTTGTTTGGGGGGGGGTTATATTCTTATTTCTTTTCCCTTTGTGTTCCAAAAAACTGTTACTAATCTTCCTGACGAGAGGTGTGTGTGTGTGTTGAGGGCATGTGAGAGACCTGTGCTGAGTACAATACAGTGCTGCGAGAGAGAGTGTGTGGTGTGTGAGCGAGTGTGCTAGCTTCTACGAATGCAGCAAAGTCGATAAAAATTAATTTCTCTCTCAGACTTTCTTTGACACATGGCAACTTATGACTCTAAAGTAGCAGCTATAAAAAAAAGGCGAATGGCAAGATAGCATACAGTACTTTAATAATAAAAAAAAAAGTGGCTGACAGTGCAAAAGCTGCAACGAACTACTCAACGACAAGAAAGGTGGTGAATCCTTTAGCTCACACAGGCTCAATTCACTCAGTTTTTTTTTTTTTTCTTCAAACGGTAATGCTGTGGTATGTTTCTAGTGCAACACTAATAGGAGCAAAAAAAGCACAAGAGACTTGCATGACAGCTGCTCGAGGAAAAGGAAAGAAAAGAAGAACAACTGACATGAGCTGGTGCATCGCGTATAAAATACAACTTATACGCGCAAGCACGCGTGTGTATAACATATATTTTTATATATAATATTTATATTCAGCGTGTAAACACTGAGACCTCAACAGAAACAAGGTTGGTAGATAGGTAGTGTTCACCCCTCTTTGTGGCTTCAAAAGTTTTTTTTTTTTCTTTGTTTCCCCTGTCCAAAGGCACACAGCACTACAGTCACTATAACACATGCACTTTTTTTGGAACACACGAACAAGTAGTAAAAGGAAAAGTGGGGGTGTGGCATGATTATACATCATGCTTGTCAGGTGTTTCACCAAACATTTCGCACCACAAAGACATTGTTGTGAAGAACAGACTTGGAACAGGGGAGGCAGGGGGAAGCCATGCCATGCGCTTGACTGGCAGATACCAAAAATATCGTCTTGTTGACAACGTGTGCTCTTTCTATCTAAAACAACAGGCAGGATGTGCATGCGGTTTCTTATGTGTAAAGTGCGCCACCTTTTTTTTTTTTTTTTTTACGTCCAGAAAAACAACCTGGCAGCACTACTTCCTACCGGCAACATGACAACAAACCGGGTGCGACTTTGCCTTCTCAACAAACTTGACTTTGGTATGGAAAAAAACCACGTGTCTCTACGAACGGTCCATGTTTGGCTACACTTACTGTCTTGGGGAGAGGGTTGGTGCTAGTCACTAGCTCTATCTCACTGTGTGTGTGCCCAACGCAATGCCTCCCTTGGCTCTGGATCTGACTGAGTAGGCCATAAGGGTAATTTTTTCGGCCCTGGTTCAATCCCATGGCAATGTTTTCTTTCTTTAAGCAGTTCCAGGCCTTAAGGTCAAGCTTGTACTTCCTCCAGAAAAAGATAAACGCTCCTGGCTTGGTGGAAACAACTCCAGGGTCGTCAACGAGTGGAACAAGACTGGCGCTTTCAAGTAGTTGTGCCTTGCACATGTTTAAGATTGTTGCTGACGCCTTTTTGTGTAGTAGTAAGTCACCTACCCACACACTTTTTTTTTTTTTCACTCTATCTATTGAGTGCCCCACAGGTGCAGCAGAGAAAAAAAAAAGAAACAAGAAAGAGAAAGAGACATCCAGAAGTGCGTCTTTGCCCTGGCAGGTGGAGCCGCCAAGTAACTAGCCTCGACAAAAAGTCGAAAAAAGGCCAGAAGAACGGCGGGCACAGCCACGCCAATCCTATGTACACGCTTTCGGTCTTCATCACCGACGCCCTTGACAAAGAAGGAAAGCCCAAATGGCGTTTTTCCTGGTCGCCAACCGGAGCTGCGACTTTGCTGCTCCCTGTAAACCTTGGAGAGGGGTGGGCACAAAACAAAAAGAACGTTGCAGGGAAGCAGCGCGCACAGCCTTTCTCCCGTGCATAGCGGGACCCTGCTTGCACGCCACACAGTCAGCAAGAGAGGGAAGGAATAAACACACGGCACACTCGCAAGTAGACTCTGGGAGGAGCAGGAGGACAAACCCCCGCTGCGGGGGACCGGTGTTGGCTCCAGTCGGCTTACGTCGGCCAGCCGTCGGCAGAGAGGCGTGGGCGCTTGGCACCATCGTAATCGCCGGTCGGGTCTGGTGAGGAAGATGTGGAAGGGGTCAGTGGAGGCTGCCCGGGTGGTGACAAGTGCCCGGACGGGGGTCGGGCGTTGGTGCCTCCTCCGTGCAGACCTTCTCCACCGCCACGCGGCGGTGAAATGGGTTCGCTTTTGATCCGGATGGGCAAAGGAGACGATGCAGGTGGTGGTGTCGAATTTCCTAGAGACAAGTGGCTGCCAAGCACGCTGGGGCTCCCACTGCGCACACAAGAAAGCCAATGAAATTGCTTAGGTCATGCCTTGATGTGAAAGCACAGTGCTAGTACAACAACACGAGCCTACAGAAACTCCTCATTTTAGCAGAAAAACATTAATGAAGTGCAGAGGAACCAAGAAAGAGCAAGTAGGCATGTACACATAACTAACCATTATATTTTATTATAATTTTAAAAAGAAAGTGCAAAGAAACCAAAAAAACTATCACAATTAGGTTGACAACTCCTTGTCTATACATGCAAAATAATTTTTGTGATAAATCAGGCAGGGGTGTCAAGCAAGGCACAGGATTGACATTTACAAAGAAAAAGGATTTGTACCATTCTGTGCATTTCTGTATGGAAGACTTTCCAAGCTTGTGTCAGCACAGAAGTGCCCACAGTTTGCTAGAGCCAATTTACAAAAAAAAATGTTCTCTGCAATGTTTGGCACAAGTGCACTTTCACACTCTAAAATTAAGGTGGATACATTTAACTAATTGTACTTTGATCTCTGCGATGTTAATATTTTGTCTAACAAACACCCAGCACAAAGAGAGATGAAACCCAACAACATCTGCATACAAGACTTGCCTGGAGTGAGCTTGCATGGCCCCAGAAGGCACAGCAGCATTGGCCAGAGGACCTTGAGTTGACCAGTTATGCATCAGGCCTGGAGAGTTGAAACCCGTAAGGCCAAGTTCGGGGTTTAGCTGGAAGTCCGCTGCAAATGTGGCAGGGAACAGGATGCCTTGCATGAAAGCATAACCACACACTGCTGGAAAATACCTGGGCTTTGTACACCAGAACTGCATTCTGATAATGAGGTAAGCAATAATGGGGGACTAAAAAATAAATTTTAGCACTATGGGTTCTTTGACAAACACCTAAATCCAAGTGCAAGAGCTCTTTAGCATTTCACCCCCATCGAAATACAGCTGCTACAACTGATACTGAACCACCACTGGTCTCGTGGCATGTACCAACACAGCGACACAATAATAATGGAGACACAAAGAATGTACCGAGGTGTGCATATGCATCTTACGTGTGTAATCAGAAGGCAACAACACATCAGCTTTTCTGAAAAGTACTGGTAATGTGGCACCTACAAGAGGGCCGAGGCCCCGATTCCTTGTGCAAGCAATGAGCTGACCAGATCAGCTGCCACATTCACACTCTTTACAGTATAGCCATTAAAGCTAATCCAGCTAATTAGGGGGCAGTATTCCAATGGGGACTTGTCATTTGTTAACATCTATACAAGGAGCCCCATTTGCTACCACAGAAAAGCTCCTTTCAGGCTCCGCTACAGTTACAACAGTATATACTCAAAAAAGCACTGGTTGCAACATGGAGACGATAGATGTGGCAGAAGTTGGGGCTTAATTAATGCTGTTTGGACTTTAAATTTGGGCATGAACTCCAAAAATTCAAACACCAAAAATTTTTAGCATCTAAAATCTGAGATGATTTTATATATTGATGTCTATGAGGGAGATTTGCAAATGCAGACTCAGAGGGAGCACACCCCTGTCTGCCACATCAGTTGGGCTTTACAGAAGTTTGAAAGAGGAGAGGCTAAGAAAATAGCACTTTCGCCTTTCATGTGTAAAGTGATGGCAACACTTAGGTTGCGCTAATTTACGTGCATACCGTATATAGCCGATTATAAGTCGACGTTTTTTTCGTAAAGTGTCCCTCCAAAGTTCGGGGGGTCGACCTGCCCGTGGAATCATAAAGTCAACTTGTAACCATAAAGTCGATTTTTCTGAGGGATCCAACAAATGGTACGTCCTCAGATTCACTGCTATTCGACGCATCAATAACATAAGCCACAGGGGCAACGGAGTCGCTGGAACTGCTATCTCCCAAAATGCGCGCCGCTTCCAGAGTCAGACATTTTTACGATCTGCCGCAATTAATCACGAAACTATGGTATGACTATAGTGGCTAGAAGAAGAGGTGTCAACAACGACGCATCCAAGATACAGTGTCTGTTTGGTGAGATCGGCAACAACACCAGCGCACGCTGCATATGAGTATGACTGTGCATTGCGCTCGCAAAAAAAAAGTGACATGCTTTTATGGCCTGCTAACAATGCAACATACGTTTATCTGTGGCAAAAACTTGAAATGCATCTCTCGCTTGCAAAAACTTCATGGGTTATCGTTTGTGAAACACAACATGCGTTTCTCCCTTTAGTGGACAGCGTGCTTCAACAGCATTTGCTGACTAGGAAATTCAAAAATTCAGATTTCCCGCGAAGCACCGTGGGCGTTCCACGGAAAAGCTGGCAGCGTTGTGTGGGCTGGCAACACTTTGCGGGGAGCTAAACCACATGACCAGTTACAAGCGCCTCACACATGTGCACACAAGCGTTTCACGTCTTTTTGCATTTACGCATGTTCACGATTTCTGCATTTTGCCTCACTTGTGAACAGTGGCGTGCGTGATTTGCAAAGCTGCTAGACAGACGCCAAGATGCCACCGCTACACCTTCAACAGTACAGCGCTCTTTTCAAGCGGCAGGCGATCCTCTATGCAGAGTTGAAAAGCAACGTTTAAGCAGGGCGGATGTACGATGTATCGGGAGAGTGCGTGAGGGAATGAAGAAAACAAAGGACCAAGATCTTCACGTGTGCTGCGCACGGTGTTCCTTTCGCAGATTGATGTTTGGACGATACCCTGCCATCAGAGAGGCGGTTCGAGATTGGGTTCGTGACCAGACAAGCAAAAGCCTGAGTGTTTGCTACGATGATATTGAAGCAAAAGCACGTACTGTCGCTAAGGATATGTGCATCCCACTAATTGAGCTCAAAGTATCAGAGATATGGACCACGAACTTAATGAAACAGAACGGCCTGAGTCGTTCTGTTTCAACTGTATGCCAAAGGTTGCCCGAAGCCTACAAAAAAAAAAAAAAAAACCACCACACATTTCTTTGCTACGTGAGTGACCTGAAGGCAAAGCATTCATTCCTGCATTTTCCATGCGGGGCATCTCAGTGCCATCGGCACCTCTCCTACGGTGAGCAGCAGTGGCTCACATGATGGCAATGACAATGACTGCTGCAACATTCTCTCAAGCGACACCGAGTCATAAGCGATGTTTCACGATCAAATAAATGTTTCTTTGCATCACTACCTTTTCTGAAAGACTTACTGGTATGCATTGGCCGCAGTATGAGGCTGTGTTTAGAGTCAAGTTATTTTTTTTTTAGGGGCGAAGCTCCTTATGACGTGGCTTGTGCGTCCCTCGTAGTACGTAACCACCAGTGGCACATACCCGAAATAGCAGTTCTTACGATTTTGACCTCCAAGGTGGTTCTGGTGAGAGATTTCTTCTGTGCGTTGTTGAACAATAAAAGATAGTGCTCAATGCACACGTTAATGGCTGCTAAGGGGGAATGAGAGACAGGAGCATTCGGCCTTTAGGTAACGCGCACGCTGCGATCCCCATTAACAGCCATTGGCATGTCCATTGAGCACTATCTGACAAGAAAGGGTTGCTACGTTATACTCGCCGGCTGTAACCTCCTTGGTTTTAGAAAGGTTTAGCGAGCGTTGGGCCGCATAGCCATGAATACAGTGAACTAGTATATACCATGAACTCGAGGTAGTTAAAGGTGGGAAGTAAACCCGAAGCGCAAGCCGTAAGAAAGTGTGCATGTGCCACCTCCCGTTTAGTCTTTGAAATGTCCGCTGGATGGGGGTGCTTCTTCTATATGGAGAATATATGATGAAAAGATGCGAGATGGTGGTACTTGGAGTGCTGAATAGATGGACAAACAGACACACAGACAGATGCATGGATGGACGCATGATTGGACGCAGGCGCGGATGCATGGACGAACGCAGGGACGGACGCACGAACAGACGCACGCACGGACGGGTGGATGGACGCATGGACGGTTACACAGACGTACGCAGGAACGGACGGAAGCAAGAACGAATGGACGGACGAATGCTTCGCCCCACTCCCCATCATTCACTCCATGGATATGCTGCCATTTTTTTGCCGAGGAGGGGTGGCAAGTTGTGGGGTCGACTTATAATTGGAGTCCACTTATAATCGACAATGTACGGTAAATACAATTTGGCCTCTGCATTGGCCTATTCTTGATAAGACAACTATGACACACAACTCGGCAGTGCTTCATCAACCTACAGTACAGTGACTTGTTGGGCAAGTTGGTTCATTCTTACGGTAGCTTTCAGTGCGAAATAAAGACGAGAGACTATATATATATATATATATATATATATATATATATATATATATATATATATATATATATATATATATATATATATAGACACATGAACAAAGTCGCAGTCGCAAGTCACATTAGCAAAATATAAATTCTATTAGTGGCAGGCGCTCACGTAATCTAACTCAGTGGCATGCAACGTGATAGAGAACCTCGCTACACATGTCCCGGCCTTTCTGTCAATAAAATACGCTTCTTCAATTTTTTGTGCAACCTTCCCTTTTAACCCCTTAACCGCTCATTTTTTTCGAAAAATTCTGGTCAAAAAGTGCCCTTTTTGCAGATTTCGATTCTGGTTGTACTAAAAAGTAGCTAGTCAATGATGAAAAAATATTGCCACATACTTAGTCAAATAAATGGAATAAAGTTTATTTCTGAACAATACATAGGAAACGAGCTACCTGCTGCTAATAAGAATAAAAACCTTATAAACAAAACCGTTACAGATGCCACAGCTTTTTTCACTTGTGTAAGCTAAGCATCCTCAAGGTATTTTGCTCGAAAAGCTTCGAGGCTGTGCGAAAAATTTCAAAACGCAGAATAATCCAAGGCGGCTTCACTGGCAGGCACTCGCAGTGTTCACGTGCAAGGTGTCTTCACCATCACTGGAGGAGCTACTCATTCACCGTCATCGCTGTCTTCACTTCCGGACACAAGATATTGATTGATATATGGGGTTTAACGTCCCAAAACCACCATATGATTATGAGAGACGCCGTAGTGGAGGGCTCCGGAAATTTCGACCACTTCTCCGAGCATTTCTTTAACGTGCGCCCAAATATGAGCACATGGGCCTACAGCATTTTTGCCTCTATCGAAAATACAGCCGCCACAACCGGGATTCGATCCCGCGACCTGTGGGTCAGCAGCCGAGTACCTTGGCCACTAGACCACCGCGGCGGGGCCCGGACACAAGATAAATATCTGTACTCAAACCATCGTCACTCAGACAAGATGACGAAAATGAATAGCTTTCACGGGTCAGCTATGAATGTGTCACCGCCACCGCACGGCTTCTTTTCATACAAATACCACACTCCTGCTACAGGAAAAAACTCAATCCCAGAGAAAACGCTGCCATCTAGTATATAGCACGCGATGTAACCCGTAAATGCACGCCTCTCTGTCTGAATGCTAGAGTACTTATTCTACTAGGATGAGTTCTACTCGTCCGAAGCAGTTTGGGCAGGATGAGCTTTGCTAGCCCAAAGCAGTCAAGAAGTTAATCTTGAGAGCCCCTTAGTTTCTGATAGCAAGGGTGTGCAGCCGCACTCCCAGATATTCATCAACCTAGCGAAAAGAAACACTTTGATGTTGCTACCTCATAAGAATACGCTTTTCCAACTTTTCTTTTTGCAATTTCGCTTTGCTGTGAGAAAAATATTCTAGCAATAGTCCAGAAATGTGCGAAAAATATTGTATTCACACTTACATTTTAATTTTCGAATTCGCTTTGCACACATGAATTCTGCTATTTGCACAGCTCTACTAAGAAGCTTCCGCACAGCAAGTTGTGTTAAAAAAAAAAATTAAAAACAACTGACTAGAATATTGCCTCCTTTAGAATTCAGAGAAACACAGAAGTACTGTGAGATTGTGCAGGGCCGTCAATAGTACTCAAGTCAGACATGGTATCCCCCCACCCCATTTTTTAAATAAAAGCTGCATGTAGAGCTGTAGCGATTGAGCAATATACAAGAACATAAGGAAACAATGAGTATTGTGCAAATGCTCACATGGAGGAAAGCCAGCTGCAAGAGAGGACGGATATGCTGACATGCCAGGCATCCCCGGCGCCGTCACTGAGACAACTGGGGTTGTGAGTGAAGCATTGGATGTCCGAACCATTGACTGCTGAAGAAACAGGTGTGACGGGTCGTGCTGCGGAGGGAAGAAGTCATTGCACAGTTTTGCAAATTTCAACTGGAGTATATAAGTATATGCCTACTGAATGCCATATCAGCCACTGCTGTTGGGTGATGAGCTATGAAAACAAGTTGCATACATATTTCGAATAGAAGGCAGAATACAATACAAGTGCATCTTTAAAACTTGTGTCGGTAAAATTCAATCACATGTGGTTCTAACATGAACTTCAAGGCGTTATGAACCACCCCTTGGGCTTAGAGAGAAAACGCATTTTAAGGATAGCACGCTGCTATGAACATCTTAGCCAAATGTTGCAGTCGTGTGTTGTGAGGAAAGCTTTCGGGGGGAGCACAAAGTTGGCATTTTCTCAGGTGTTCTCTCTTTATACAGAGGTGTGCCCTCACTTCCTTCAGAGCAGCTCGTGCCCGCTGTTTGATGTCGAACAATGACAGGCATAAATCAAGAGCAATATTTGGATCAGATGCACTTCTTGCTATGGGGCATTGCTATGTGCTGGCACTGTGCTTCATACTCTGCTAACGTTATATAGCTAGTGATACTTGCGTGCAGGAATGAGAATGGGGGAAAGCGATCGTGTTTGATCATGAGCATTCAAGGTTATGATGAGCGCTGATGTAACTTCTCTACTCTGTGCCATCCCACTTTGCTTACCTTCCAGTATGCTCAATGTTACAAGCGAAAAGAGAGAAAGAACTTCAAGCACTTGACAAGCCCCTATAACTTTGGTCGTTCTAGACGAATTTGAGAAACTTTTGTAGCAATTGATTGGTGAGCTAATAAACTTCGATACCAAGGACATTCAATGATTATTTAGAAAGGTGGCTTATAGACCCATTAATGCATTAATGCATTAGCCTTCTGGGGCTAACTAGAAGAATGTGATCACTGCATTCCCTCTTTTTTATTGTGTAATAGCACACATAGGTGCCTCGCAAGTGTTTCTTATTCTCACCAGCTGTCCTGTAGGGGAAGGAGATCCTGGGAGGACGACACGCAGTCCAGCAGCGGAAGAACAAGAGCGGCTGGGCGAGGCCCCCTTGGAACCCTTACCCGCAGGAGAACTGCAGCTGGCCAGGTTGCCTGATGGGGACGTGGACCGGTGGTAGCCATTGGAGCTCACACCATTCATGTCCAGCAAGGCACCCCCTACACACACACATATGCAGGTAATTAGCCACTGGGCCCAGCAACCAACATGGCTCAATGATAGTATTTAAAAACAATGGTATTCAAATGGACGGAAAATTTGGCGAGTAGGTATGGTAACGTGTTTCCCTAGTAAGCAATGTCATCTTCTCACACATACCTAGTTTATTCTCTCTAGTTCTTATCCCTCCTAGGACATTCCATTAGTGGTTGAAAGAAGGAGAAAGTGAGTGAGGAAGAATAGAGCAAAAGAACAAGAGAAAAATGCTCACTTCATAAATAGTAGTGTGCTGTTCTCAACTGCCGCCAACTGCCATGAGACACATTCTCCCAAGTTCATACCTTTGTGACAGTAGAACCCCAATTATACGACTTTCAGGGGACTGCGCAAAACCCTCATACAGTCGAACCCCTTTGTAAGAGACACTGATATAGGAGACAAATGGGTATGAATGGGTATTTCTAATCTACATCAATGACTTACCTACTCACATTCTCTCACATATTTTTGTTAGCAGATGATTGCTTAATCTGCTGTAAAGTAACTACCACCACTGACTTTGCCATTCTTCAGAATGATTTGAACACTGCACATGAGTTGTGCCGTCCTTGGCACATGGAATTAAACATAAGTAAATGCAAGGCTCTGTGAATTTCACGTACTACTATGATCCTGCCTATCTCATAAATAACAAACCATTAGAATCAGTAGCATCATACAAGTACTTAGGCATACATATAACCAACAACTTATCTTGGGATAAACACATTAAACATATCAGAACTGAAGCAAACCATACTCTAGATTACCTTTGCAGAAAACCTTATCATCCAGTTCCAAACTACTTTTATACACCACAAATGTCTGTCTGCCCACAGCTTGAGTACGCGTCAGCGTTGTGGGACCCCCACTTTATTACATTAACCCAACCAATGCCTCCTATAAAAATACTAGGCCTGGGACGTCGCTATCTTTGCCATTAGAGGATTGCTGCCATACGTTTCGAGTGGGTGCTGTGTGGTGGTGCTGGCGACTGCAGCGCCGGAGCATCACTGTGTCGATAGAGCGGCACAGCTGGCTGATTCGCGCAGGTGGTTGGTTGCGTGTTCGTGGATCCTTTGAGGAGCGTCAGTTCAACAAACGCCAGTCATTTCGTGGTAAAAAGCTCGGCTGCAGTTCAAGAGATTTTCGTGACAGGGGTTTTCTTTGGACCAGCTTTGCAGCAGTGTTCCTGTCGGTTACTCCTCGGTCCACAATACAGCGTTACATGTTAGCGCCCGGTCATCTTTAAACATCGCCTCAAGTCACTCAAATAGCTCTCCAAACGTATGTGCAACTTCTTCCTGAGGCTCGGTGAGCATATTCTTGGCGAGCTTTTCGTGCTTTCAAGCTCGCCAAGAATAGGCATTGTAACTTTTTCTCGTGCGTTTATTTATCTCAATGTCTGTTTTTACGCAGCAACGTCAACTCGTTGATGACACCATGTTGTTAGTGCACTCGAAATGTATTTCCTCGCGCTCTAATTTGATAAACTCCTCCGTTGCTATTAACAACGCTGGCATTCTTCCGGCCGACACGCGTCGCGTTGTATGCTTGAGTTACCAGTGGTGCCGCTTCAGGTTGCAAAGAGTCGCCCCGGGAGGCTCTAGCAACTGTACCGGGTCGACCAGGTGGAAAGGAGCAAAACAGAAAGGGCAGTGCTCTTGCGGCTCACGTCGCAAGCATGGTCTTTTCTAGGAGGCATTGACCCAACGCATAGAGGCAATACAAAACTGCGCTGCCCATTTCATTTTATCTAATTACTATAGAACATCCAGCTTAACTACTATGAACGCATCTTCACAAATTACTTTGCTTTCTGTTCACAGGAAACATTCCTATTTATATCTTTATCATAAAACTTACTATCATAACCCACACAAGTTTTCACTATTGATACATGCCCGATCTTACATGTTACCGCGTGTCGACTATCGTCAGAAGGTTCAGGTGTCCAAGAATAACACAACTAAAATGTGCGCTAGCGAAAAACAGGACGCTTTTCATCGCAACAGAGCAGTGACGCACGGGCAGCTTATTGCATGCTTTTCCCAGCAGCAGCACGTCATAATTTACCCATTCATTTTTGGGAATATAAATAAGTTTATAAAGGACAGTTTGGCGGAATTCGCAATGTATCCAAACCTCCGACAGCAAGTTGCTCCAGCGATTTGCGAACTTGCACTGCTGGTGGAGTTTTTGTCTGCAACGCCTACTTCGAAAACTAAGTTCGAAAGCGTCTATGATCATGTTCTCTAGCCAAAACACATCGCGACTTCCATTACACAAGCGGTTATTATATTCATTATTTTAAACAAAAAGAATGGGTGAATGGACGAAGGAGCAGACGACATGCTGTCCGCTTATCATTGCTGCGTCGTTGTGAGGATGTCCTGTTATCTGCAGGCACGCATTTCACTTAATACACAACAGCGTTACCCCCCCCCCCCTGTCCCCCCCTTTTCTTTTTTTTCTTTTTTCGATGGCAGCAGCGAGGCCCACCATTGTTTGCAGCGAAATTGGTGCTTGAAAACATAACTCTTGGAGCTGCAAACTAGCTGGCACATATAGCTATTAGACCTGATTACTTTGAATAATTCCAAGTTTCTTGCACCCCACTTTTTGTATGTTCCGTTAATTTGAACACCTACTAAATGTGAAGATTCCTCACAGCTTCAGTAACCTTAAATTAACAATGTTTTACAGTATCTCCAGAAAGCACTACAGAGATGTTCACTTGTTCAATACAGCACACAAGATTACAGACATTGCCCTTTTCCGAGATCCTGAGCTCTACGAAAGAACAAACAACTTACCTGAAGAGCTCGGGCGGGGGCTGACACTAGAGTGAGTCATCTGGGGAGAAGGCTGCATAAGACCCTCCTGGGACGCATAGCCAGCAAGGGAGCTCATGCCTTGGCTCATGGAAGGCTGGCCCTGTGAGCAGACCATCAGACGGCCAGTTGTATCCGGTACTTCATAATACCCACGGTAACAACTGCGTTGATGCGTGCTGAGCTAGGTGTTAGACACTCGAGGCAAACTGCCACCGAGCAGAAAGATTTATATTCTGATGACACCGCAGTCTTCTGGATACATTATTGTTGGACAACTTTCAGTGCTTTAAAGCTGTAACAAGTTTTCTTAAAAATTTGAAGGCAATGCTGCTAGCAGTCTTTCATTTCAGAGTTATCCTTTCATAGACTCATTTAAAGACAACGGTTGAATGGCCCTCAAAAACGAACTTGATTAGTAGAAATAATCCGACTTTCTAAGCGGACCAGGAACCTTTGTTTGCGGCTCATAAATTCAATTTTGGCTTATTTCACAGTACAATCAAGTACCTAAGAGACCATCTTATATTTTAGAACTTACTAAGTTGGACCAACTACATTTAACTATATCTCTCAAACTGACCAGCGTGGATAGTTTTCATCAAGGTAACTGCACAAGAAGCAATGCAACTGATTATAACACGTATATAAAAATACACTCACTCGAGACCCATTTAGTTGAGCACTGCGCTGCATCATCAATTCAAACTCTTCATTGATTTTGCTGTACTTGGCTTCTGCACGGGGTGTCAGCGAGTACTGGTCGGCGTCTGGCTCTGGGCTGTCACAGCCATTTGTGGAATTCTTGTGTTCCTTCTTGCTCAGTGCCTGCGTAAAGAAACAGGGGTTCCTTTCCCTCTACGAAGTGGCTAACGCTTGACAGCAGGCATGTATGTTTTGCCCTGTTAACTGAATGTCTTGCTTGATGTCCAAATTTAAGTTGGAACAAGCTCAGGGAGCAAAATTTGCTTTTGTTCGCCTCATACTTCACATCTCCAATAAGATGCCTGGGATGTTTAGGGGCGGCATTGTTTTGTCTTATGTACCTGTTACACTGGCAAATTTAGGGTTACTTTGAGCGAGTGCACTTGTGCCTCCAGAATGTCACTGCACGAAGAGCAGTGCGTTTTGGAAATGATGGGAATAGAAAAGGGTATTTAAGTAGCATTTCCCAAGGCAATAATGTGTTACTGCTATAGGCAGTCCATAAAGTAAACTTTACATACAAAAGCGGGGGCTGTGGACATTGCAAGGTGTGAGCTGGGCATGCTACTGGCGATCATGGCCTTAAAATGCCTGAGAGTAAGTTTAGCAGATTAGTGTTTTGTGGCATGTTTCATAAAATAAGATAATAAAGAAATCACAAAAACTAGCAAAGCTATGAACTCGGCTTCGAACAATAGCTTATTCTCAAGTCAGTGCAACTGAGGCTGGACGCTCCGTGGCAGTGATGCGAGACACACTCACTGGCAACTGCACTTTTAAGTGCGTATGTATGACACTAGCAGTGCAGTGCACTTAAGCTGCATCGTGTGACATTCATGTCATGTGTGTCATGTGTGTAGACCTCATGACACTGCCCAGCTTTGGTACTGAACATGAGCAGTACAAAATTGCAACATAATTCTACACCAGAATGACTTAGTTTTCATTGGGTTTCACAAGCAGCAGAAGAAACAACAAGGAACACGGCATTGTTTGTTTCTGTAGCCTGGGAAAGAAAAATAACTGTTAATGAGAAGCAGGACATGCTGGTATATGTGTTTAGACTGTACAGCATGCGAGCATGCAATGTTCATGCAGATAAATGCCACTGTCAACAACTGCAGTGAATGACTTCTGTAGCTACTAGTGCGCCATCTTCCAATATTGTGTGTTACTAACTGCTTTGATACAAAGGGTGGTTCAGCTTTGAGTGACACTCCCAAGTGAAGGCACGTAACAGAGATTTCTTTGAGAATATGCTACTTCTAATCCGGAGGCTATAACAGTGAAAGTGGCTTTATTTTCCTCTAGACAATACTAGGATGTCCTGACAGGGGCATGAAAGAAGCAAGTGAAATGAGTATTTGCAAGCTACTCCAGAAAGTGAGTGTTCAATACTTCTATTAAAAAAAAAAGAAATGTGTTATTTTATGCTTGCAACTACTTGAAGTAGAACCAATATTCCTTTGAAGCATATGTTCACTATGCTAGCTACAATAGCAAACTGCGCTATCTGAGTGAGATTTGACACACTATATCACCCACGCCTCATAGCTATTCGCAACCGACGACAAATGAAAGTTTTTGAATCAAAATTATGCCTAAGGGCAGACTTTCGGGAAAAAAAAAAAAAAAAAACTTGGACAATTTATTCACACACATATACAAAAAAAGAAACATGACTTAATTAACCTCAAGTAATGCCTTCACCTGCATTTAATTTTCATCCCAGATGACAGTGCATAGCAAGTTAAAGCCCATATCAACTGCGTTTACAATAATATGCATTCTAGCTTACGGCGTTCATTCACTGCACTCAAGTCTACTGCACATGAAACAAAATATAACGTTTGCCTTCCACAAATGTATAGATGCAGTAGCAAGCTTACTGAAGTTCAAGTGAGCACAATAAATCTTTCTTTTTTTAATTCTTCATCCGAGCATGAACTCGAAGCACACAAAGGCAGTGAACAAAGCCTCATAATGCTAAGGACGAATTAGAGTTCATGTGATCATCTATATGATAAGACAAAGCATAGAAGCAGATGTATAAGCAAATATAAATTAAGAAAAGTTGCAGGTACAAGAGGACAATAAAATCAATTAAATCAATTAGATAAAATTTTTGTTCGAAATACAAACTTGATACTTTTGCCACATTTTAGGGGAAAATCTTGGGGACATCATAATGCCAAAACTGCAGTAGTAACCACGCACAGCACGCACACTAAGGATTTTGCTGTGGTCTCTGGCAAGCCAAGAAGCCTCATTTCTATATGTGCTGCATTAAATAAATTCAATGTAAAGTGATATCATTTGAAGGAAGGAGGGTTATCATCAGGCATGAATTTTGGCCCCAGAATTCATGCACTTGCTAGTAAGTGAATGTGGTATTAATCAAATGCAGTTAGAATGTAATAAATGTGTTCTGGGGTGCAGTTAGAGATAAAGAACATCAATGTAAGTAAATCATTCCATAGGAAACTAGACACAAAGAAAATGCCATTGCAGCCCGTCGACTGTTTCAAAGGATGAAAATCCCGAAATAAAAAGAGTCCTGTCCTCCACATAGCCTATTAAACACACATGCCAAATAACTGTTGGCTTCACGAGAACCGACACACACAGTCCATTTTCCCAGGAAGTCAGCTGGCAAGAAAACTCGAAATCCTCAACAATGTAGGATGTTGTATGTAAGCTGCACTTTTGCAGCCAACTCACCTGACTGCCGCCATCCAGGCGTTGGTGGCGCAATTTCTGAATGAGACAAGAAACGGGGACAGCAATTAAGCACAGTGGCTAAGTGGATCTGCTTAAAAAGAAGCACTTTCTTGCGTCTGACTGCCCCACTATGAGTGTGTGCGCCTTCTCACCAGATGGTCTGGTGGTGAGCTTCTTCATGTCTTACTCTTGTGAGAACAGTCCAGTCGAGGTGCATTACTCTGTTTGCTGTGTGTTCAAATCAGCGGCCATAGTTGAGTAGCTCCTCACTACGAACTTTCACTAGCAATCTAGTTTTCTTTAGCTCAACTTATTCATAGAAGGTTATGATGATACTCCTGTAACCTGTCAGGAACGCTATATTCATCACTTTAATGTCAATTTTGTCTCTCTCTTTCTACAGAGAAAGCCATACACTGAGAAGTAGGTTTGCTTGCAGTGCTGACTGCATTGAAAGAATGCTCCTATTTTTCCACTGGCAGAAACATTCTTTATGGTGCATTCAGATGATGGACCGAATCCGGATTTCTCGTGGACGTGGACGGCTAATCCGCGGATGATCCGCCTACACATGCATCCACACGATGGACGGTGTCCTAGGAGAAAACAGCCGGATTACCCTTCACAGCAGATTTGGCGCTCACCTGCCACCGCTGGCAGCAGACCGGTTTGAGAGTATTCAACATGGATGCCCGCAAGAAGAGACGCTTGGCTGCGATGTCTGTCGCGTTGTCAGAAATGAACGAGGAGTGTTATTCTTTCAGGAGAAAAGGGCGTTTCTGGCAGAATGTTCCTTCAACTACATTGTTCCCCACTTGTAGAACTTCTGAACGCGTCTCCCATACTTTTTTAGAAGCGGCACGACGCTGGTTGCAGAAGTCAGAATATTTCACCACCATGACGACTAAAAATCTTGCGTGTCAAATGACGGCGGCGGCGACATTTCCCGATCCACCAAAAGTGATTTCTACGTATTTAATCACCTGAGAACAAAGCCCCCTGAAACTAAGTAAACAGTGCTCAAGCGTAGATGATGCCGACCAGTCATGCAGCTGTCTGCGAGTCATGGAGGACATGCCGCGAGCAGACGAAAAGTGTACTGGTTGCCAGAAACCCCCGAGCTAATGCGCTGAAGTATCAGCTTTCTCCCACCAGAATCCCGAAGTGAGAAACAGGTTGGGGTCAGTCGCGGACGAGGGGAATAGCTGATCTGAGGTCACGTCCCGCCACATCCGGATTCGGTCCGTCGTCTGAATGCACCATCAACAGACACAGCAGCGATTTGCATGTGATCTCAGAGAAGTAATACTTCAGTGTATTTTCTCGAGAACAGTCAGTAAGTAATCGTACTAGAAATGTCATTAGATACTCTGACAAGAGAAATCTATCCCTAAAGGAAGAGATTGAGAGAAAGTGAGGAGTGATGTGCGAAATAGAAAATTTTTTTGATATCTCATTTCATAAAGTTCATCTGCAGTGTGTTACTGAGGACGCGCATGATGTGAGGGACGCCAATGTAAGCTGCATACATGAAATTTAGGTCAAACACACAGTAAATTTTAAACGAAACAACATTAGATACTTATATAGCCACCCCAGTGACATAGGAAATGGTTTTCATATTCAGTAAGGAGGTTTGTAAATCTCATTTTTGAGCTGACTTTGGTAAGAGTTCACTTAACTTAGCAAGCAAGGTTATTATTTTGTAGTCTTCTATGAGGCAGCTAATTAGCCAACAGAGAACACATGCAGTGTTAATCAGTGCACCACTAACAGTCTCAAGTGCAAGCCCAGACATGTGTTTGTGCAAGCAAGAGCAAAAGAAAAGTCTGTGAGAAAGAACAGCACACCATGTTAGACTGTTAGTGACTGGGGGTGGGTCAGGTGTGCAAGAGTCTTGCGAAAATAATAGATGAGGGAAACATGACTTTGGTCAGAAATGACTAAGTGCCAAAAGCAAGTCTTCACAGCACTCTGAAATAATGTGGAATAGACTGTGCCACCCACACACACACAATATCAAGTCAATGACATGTCTACACATTATAATCATGAGAACAACTGTAAAAGCTACATGATGCAGTACAAAGCCAACACCACTATAAATGTGTGGCTCTAACTGATGATAGAGATATAGCACTCAAGAACAGTATAAAATATGAATGTATTTGTGATGAGAAAGGTAATACTATGCACAGCCACAGTAAAAGGGAGAGAGGTCATTGCCTAGATGACTGCAGCTGACCCTGCAATAACATTTAGCCATCTTGTTGCAGCTTGAAAGCTAGGATGCGATCAGCAGTTCAAAAACAAGCACTCATCTTGTCTTTTTAGAGCTTTCTACCATCAGGAACTCCATGGGAAGGACTTAACACAGACACGACTTGGCCAACTTTATGCTTCTAATGACCCATTGGCTTCGTTAATTTTTTAAAAGTAACTGTGCTAGATTTACACATGCATAATTACTATAGCAAACCGATCCACAAATGGTTATAACAGAAATGCTCACGTTTACAATTCGCTTGCTAGACCCTTCCACACCCTGGTCAGCGCTGTAGTAACATAAGTGTTTTAATTTCTTTGTTAGGCTAGGCTGATGTTCAAAAGCAGCTCATTTATATTAAACACATTCCACAGAGCTTTGCAGAACAAATACTTTACCTGCAGTCACTATACTTTCGGTCATTAATTCATGTGCTAACAAAGCTAACAGCTCAATTCGCATGCAGCTCTTCTATATGTTAAACATTTTAAGCTGTACAAATATTCATCCATGCTACTCTCAGTACACCGTATTAAGCTTTTTATTTCCTTGACAGTTCTCATCACAATATTCCATACTTGACTCGAGATTTAAATCTTACAAATGCAGCAAGATTGAAGTGTGAGTAAGCGCAAACAGACAAAAACGTAGAAGAGTACCGACATGATAAGAAAGCTACTTTCAGCTGATCTTTTATTTTTGCATGAATCAAATATATACTGAGCAAACGGAAATAACATGAACGTTTCGTGGATTCACATCATTGAACCAAGCACATGTAAATTACATTGCAATAGCCCACCAACGTGCAGCAAGTACTTCAGCTGACACAAAACTATTAAAAGATGCCAAACTAAGCCAAGTTCCACACTATACTAAAGAGCAAAAGTGATATCCCGATTTGGTTATATCATGACCTGAAAAGAATGAAAAGCTATCAGCGACACTGTTTACAATGTCAAAAGGCTCAGACGTGCTAAAAAGAAAATGCCGCATTGCTGAACATAAAAAAAGTAGCCTTGCGGACTCACCTCGACAATGTCGCTGTTGGTGCGACTCTCGTGTGGCTCATTGTACTCGGTGTACTTGAGCAAAACTTTGTCCATGTCGGTGCTGGCATACTGGAACAGCTTGTTTGTGCTGTTGAAGATGATCAGGGCGATCTCGCAGTCACAGAGCACACTCAGCTCATAGGCCTTCTTCATCAGGCCAAACTTGCGCTTCGTAAACGTCACCTGTGAGCGCAGACTCGTTACTCATCCATCCACCATCACATGAATAATCACATTTCAGATGTAGTGACACAAGATCACTGAGGTTACCTTTCAGCAACTCATTCGTGTGCAGCTTATCCATCATGACTAAGCTTGTGTTCCAGTATTTCATAAGAATGCAACTTATCTGAGCTAATCTCGCACATTTGTTGCACAATGCTCAGCACATGTGCCACAACTGCTGATTGATTGATCATCTGTGGGAATTAACCTCCCAAAGCCACCATATGATTATGAGAGACGCCGTAGTGAAAGGCTGCGAAAATTTCGACCACCTGGGGTTTTTTAACGTGCACCCAAATCTTTAACGGTTCTTTAACGTGCACCCAAATCTGAGCACATGGGCCTACAACATTTCCGCCTCCATCGGAAATGCAGCCGCCGCAACCGGGATTTGATCCCGCAACTTCCGGGTCAGCAGCCGAGTACCTTAGCCACTAGACCAATGCGGCGGGGTGTGCCACAACCCCTGCACTGGCACAAGTAATATCGAACACTCACATGACTGCTTGCAATTAATGCTTCGAACTTAATAGTTCTTGGCTGTAAGCTTACCAGGTCTTCCAGTGAGTTTGAAAAGCTTCAAGCAGACGTTTAGAGCCATGCCCTCATAAAAATAGTTCAAAAACTTAGTTACCTGCATGGAAAATTATTTTAAAAGGCACTGATAGTACTTTGAAAATTTTATTTTGGGTCTCCAAAAAGAACTTACAACCTTCGAATCTCCCGAGCATGCTCCACCTAACACACACATTTTCCATCAGACTTTTCCCTTCAATGCTCCCGGCCAGTACACATATAAAAAATGTACCCAGGATGACTATAAAATTCACACTAAGCTCTGACTGTCAGCCAGTCAACGAATTTAGTAGCAGCATCGCCTCGTGGCATGCAATTATGCACTAATCACCATACATCGCTCACCAACACGTAATCGTCACCACATGATGTGTATGGTTAAAGAATCCCTTTATTTCAATATCACTATATATTTACCTATTAAGGACTTTGTGAAAGATTTAGTATAAACGTGTCTACCATTTTAAATATTTTTTTGGTAGCCCAGATATTCTTATGGTACAGTACATTAGAAAAATACACAACAAACAAAAGGAACAGAAGTGACGACAACACATGTTTGTTATCATTTGCGTTCCTTCTGTCCGGCATGTATTTTTGTGCTGTAGGGTGCGTGCCATAATTATGTACCAACAAGCCCATCTCGACACCTTAACAAGGTATTCTACCTATGCGTACCCTATAAATGTTCAGAAACATACGGAGCAATGTGTCTTGCCCTGTTCCATTTCTCATTTAAGATCATGTATGGGATAACTGAGCAGCAAACTCCTGAAGTGCAAGCCTGTAACCACGTTCATTGGCCTGTTATGGACTGCTTTGAGGGTATTGTAGTTGAGTTTGTTGAGAACCATAAACGTTGCCCACCCACCTGCCGGTTCCTCTCGTCCGTGATCCTGGATATCTGTATTTTTTTCCTCCCCATGGCTTTGGTTTCGGGACACGTTGTGAATAGCTGTTGGTATCCTCAGGGTGAAGTCATGCACCGCCCCCTCTCAGTCGGCCACTGCATGGAGGAATGTGGTCGCCGTTCGACATTAATGATGGCAAATTAGAAAGCGTTCTAGCCAATTAATGTCACACACATTGAGTCATCTGTCTGAACTATCAATATCCGAAAATTAGCACACATAGGCACGCATACTACACAAAAAATCAAAACAGCTCTTGGTACCACGGTCTCCAATATCAGTGTACCACATAAGCCATAAAGATTTAAGGACTGTCACAATATGACAGTAGCAAGTGGCAAATATATCTATTTGTGGCAGCTAGACAACGGTTAGACGGTATGTGTTGTGCAATGTGTCAATATCCCTAGGGTGATGGCCAGTGGACGCGTACTGAAAAAAAAATCGCGTTAATTTATTGCATGCCGCTACATTCAAGAAGAACGCGATTTTTTGGGGGGCAGGTGTGTATAAATGTTTACTTGGTATATCATGCTAGTTGTGGCATCACGTCATATTTCAACGAAAAATCATGCTCTTTGAGACGAACAGTAACACTAGATCAGGCATGCATTTTAAAGAGGCATAACACAAGTAGCGAATTCTATAATGCCGGGCTGTACAAATTTAATGACCACGAAGGTAAATGGAACAAGCAGACGGCGTACACGCTAGACGAAGCCACCACCAGGTGGCGATAGGGGTGCTTACGCAACGCCACATCTCACGCAGGCGCATCGTAGTCGTGAATCAGGGCGTCAATTTTCGTAAATAGCACGTGCGCAGCGTGTGAATGCCCTGCAGCGAATAAGGCGTTAAAATCGAGTCCCACGCGTGTACGCAAACGAAGAACATCGCCATTCTTTACACGTTTGTGCCAGGGATCGGCAGATTCCGCGGCATGCCCTATGCAAATTTACGTACTTAATTGGCGATAGTTATTGCGAGAGAACAGAACGCGCTATAACTATCGTCATGTCATACCAAAATAGCTCAAACCGCCACACTTCTGAGGTACTTAATCGGCTGGGCTCGGCTGACCGTGAGCACCACGATCCAAGGTGGCGAGGAACCGATGACATATGACCGTTCATTTCGCAGAGCTACGCACCAGCCAGTGGATGAATTCACGAGTACCTGCGCCACCATTCCGCACAAATCCACTGCCCTACACCCCCCCCCCTCTTTTTTTTTCGTGACAGGCACCACAGGTGCGTCGCGCGCCTGTGTAACGGGCCAATGTCAGATGAACGGCGTAGATCATCCGGGTGGCCGTCAAAAAAAAAGGGCGCAGTGTGGCAAACCTCTCGATCTTCATCGATTCATCGCCGAGCGCGACGGTCGGCTCGCTAGAAGTCGTGCTCGTCTGATGAGAGTCGCCAACCCTTTCCTTGGGGAAGCTTCGTGCGTCGCGGTGAAAAACAGACCGCGCACGCTCGCTGGTGCGGGCCACGCACATTTGTTCAGTCTTTGCTGTCGCGGGGAGAATCTGCCGACAAGCATACGAGGCGTACTACGTACGATGCGATCCGCCAATCTACGCGTACACTGATCGCTTGTTGTTGCACGACGGCGCAAATACGTCGACGCATGGGGGGAAGGGAGCGTTCAGAGGGGGCGCGTGAGGGAAGGAAACGTACACACTCAGCAGCCCCATAAGAAATAAAGAAAATGAAAAGATAATGGCTCCCGCATATCTTTATTGCAGCAACACTGGGGTGTTGTCACAACATTTCGTCGCGCCTTTCGACACCGCGCGCGTTTATCAGGAGACAACCGCCATGTCTTTCAAGCTCTCTCCGAGATCTGAAGTCAAGACCTCAAGAACGTCACCATGAAACGTCCTTGCGGTCCCCGGAGTTTCAAAACGGCCACTAAGAGCAGCGGGGCCGAAGAAAAGTGACGTAACGGAAGAGTTCCGTACGCGACTCTGTTTTATCGCAGGCGTGAAGTTTCCTAGATATATCAGTAACATCCGGCGAATCGCTGGACTAAAACTCATAGAAATACTTTCGAAAGACACTTACGGGTCATCAGTACGAAGCGAAGAGAAGGAGTCTTGAAAAGGTAGGTCGTTGTCTGCGGGTATCCATTCAATACCGCGGCAGGATATGAATTAACAGCTGTGCTACCGAGCGAGCGCAACACGATCTGCTGACGGGCGCCATGTTCTCCGAGAGTCGTGTTGCCAGCAATGCGAGCCGAAAAACGCGCGTCGGCTAATAACGGCGGGATCACCGCTCTTTAGGAGCACGGTTGCGCTGTTGAAAACGAAACTTGAGCGTGCGACAAGTGATCTTCTAAAAATGCTGAATGGCTTTCCGCTTTTTTCTTCCTCTTATTATTTTGTGCGTGTGCTGCAAAATTTTAATTGAAATGAAATACTTTGACGACAAAATATTATGTATTATCCCGAAAATACACTACCAGGGCAGTGACGCCAGCCTTTACACTCCTGTGCCCCGGCTTAAAATGGAATGACGATAGTTATAGCGCGAGAACAAAACGACGACACAGAGACAAGAAGGACACGAAATTGTGTCATCGTTTTGTTCTCGCGCTATAACTATCGTCATGCCATACCAACTAGCCCAAGCTGCCACACTTCTAAGTTAAAATGGAAGTGTTGCTTCTCTCAGGTGAAAAAGCCTATAAAAACCAGAGAGCTCTGCCACAGAAAATAGTGGTGTCTAGGTAATCTAGGTAATTTACCCGCATTAACATAGCGTTTTCAGCAGAAGAGATATAATGGGGTAAACGGTTTATTGAACGCTGCTGCCGAAGAAGCCACCGGACTATAAGTTTATTATGGCGGTCTTGCAGGACCTAACAGCAACCCTTGCAGTCGGTGGAATGAGCAGTGACCGTCTCATGTCGAAAGAGGAGAGAGGGGAGTGGCGCTGTAGACTTGGCGACATCATCCCAGAGGCAGTACATGCTATAGTGTACTAGAATGCTTTGAGTGGCGAAGCCGGAGCGCTGTCGGACACACTGCCGGACACACTGCCGCACAGGAGAGGCTGTCCGCGCGCAGAACAAGCGTAACGTAGAACGCATCTCACTCGCAGCTAACGGCGAAGTCAATTGAGCGTAGCGTGAAGGTAAAGAGCATAGAGTTTCATGCAAGGTTCATTCGCTTCATTTTGTCGTTGTTTTGCAGCCAAACTGGCTGTATCTCTACAAGACGCGCTTGTCACAAGTGTGAACTCAAAGCAATTTCCTTGCTTCGGTAGTTCGGGGACGCTACATCTTCGCGGAGCTGAGCGTAAGCAATGCTCTGCTAAACTGGTTTTTTGTCGTGCAGCTCAAGAAATTACGCTTTGCGTGCCTGAAAAAAAAATAATAAACACCACTTGGGCCGCCCAGGCACTTGACCGGCTCATTTAGACGCAGCCGACTCGCAGTTCTGTTGCGATGTAGGGTCTATTTCTACATTTTTTTTCTTGTTTAATCCCGCCGTTTCCGCAAGCGCACCGGCTAGCAGCTGGCTGGGAGCCCGGGGGAACTCTTTTAAGTGTAATCGATTACAGCGCCGCCGCTATTTTCTACACAAAACGGGCCGCTCCGCGGCAGCCGGTTGCGCCACTCAAAATATTCTAGTAAACTCTACTTCCACTCCCGGTTATGATGAGGTGAATGAGGGAGCCTCGGTCGTGATACCGCATCGTCTGGCTACCCGCCCTACGCTGCTACTGCCGCTTCATAGCGGCACGTCAGCCAACGGCATGGAAATGCGCGCGGTCTACGACGATCGGCGACGATGCCAGCCCTGACCTTGACGTTCGAGGCAGACCGACGGGCGCCCGCGCGCTTTCGCCATCGCCTCTCTATACGAGATCTCTCGTCAGGACGGGAGAACAGTGCAGGACGTGCAAATTGTGTACCCGCTGCGTTGGGCATATCTGTCGACGTAACTGCATACGCCCCACAATGCAAACAAGAGAGATCGGGGCGTGTGCATTAAAATAGGCAATTGCTTCACGATACCGTGAATCCACAGATATCGCTGTGGTGCCGCGAAATCCAGGGGTAAAGCGCACTTGTGTTTAATTATTACGCCGATCTTCACAGACGGTTTGTACAGTGGGTGATTCCACCTTGGGCTGTTAAATGAACGTTTTCTCATTCTTGCATATCCGGACTGAAACGTCCAGTGCACCAGCTTAACCGTTTTCACGCGTGGGCGTCTACCGTATTGAACAGCTAATTTATTTATCAAATACACAATTTATACGTGTCCAACCTGTCGAAAAAATGACGTGATCAAAAAGTGTGTGCGCCTATGTAGCCAACAGCGTGGAAAAGTTAACAGCACGTGTGCACCGACAGTGCCAAGTTCAAATTCTGAAGAACAAGTTTAGTAAACACAAACTGAAGGCGCACGCAACCGGGCAGCTGGTAGCTTCTCGCACGTCATCGTTCACAACTGGAGTGCCTTGCGAAAGCAATAGACACATCAATCACTCGAATCGCTGCCCTCCTCACCACCTAACGGGCTCGACGTTTTTGAATGCTGCTCGGAATTCATAATACGACCTTCGTGGACATCCTATAGGACAGCAACGCAAGGTTAACAGCACGTGTACGAACAGAATGAAGGGAAGAACTCGGCAAACCAGCTGTTAGCTCCGCGGGAGGCACTTGCGAGACGGAGATCTATTGATGACGATTTTATTTTCACTTGGTGCAAGTAACACGTGTGAAGCTGCATCTCGTACGTGCGTCACGAAAGTAGAAAAAAAAAGAAGCCCGGGGAATTCGGTTTTATTCAGGAAGAGCGTGGCATCAAATAGCAAGTGGAGTTGCCTTTTTTTCTTTCCTTCCTTATTTTTCTTCTCTGCATTGTGGAGATATACGTCTCGATATAGTATAGATTGCTCAAGCTCACCGCCGAGAGGGAAACGCATAGCAGCATGCGTTGCAACATTTCTCTATTTATCGTACACAGATTTCCGCGCTCTTCTAGTTGGGAAAATATTCACTGCCGTGAGACACGACTGTCGAAAATGCGCACGATGTCATTCGCTCACTCATTTACCCGAAAAAAAAAAAAACA